TTCTGAAGAAGGGTCCAGACCCGAAACGTCAGCTTTCCTGCTCCTCTGATGCTGCCTGGCCTGCTGTGTTCATCCAGCTCTACACCTGGTTATCCATCAGATCTGCTTTCTTGTAAGATGCTAATTTTCTGTCTTTACATTACGATAGATACATTATATTGAATTATAAAGAAACTTTAAAGCAAATAAACAGGCCATTTGGTCCAAGTGGTCTTTGCTACTATTGCTGCTCCATGCGAGCTTTCTCACATGCTTCTTCAACTTGACCTTCAATCATATCCTTTTATTCCTTTCTCTATCATGGGTTTATCAAGTGTGTCTTTAAACACTTCTCTATTCACCTGAACTATTCTTCTTTATACCACTCGGAGTGAAGGGATTTGCCCTATTGGATTTATTAGCTAGGAATTCTTACCACAGATACTCAAGTCCCCCACACCAGCCCCTGCCATCCAACTGTGGGAGCATCTAACATTGAAATAAAAATGGTGAAAATGTTTCTTCAGTGCATTCACACAATGGCTCCCTATTTCTAGGCGTGCTTGGGTCCAAAGCAGCTGGCTACTCCTAGTCTTTCTGATCAGGAGAGGACCTTGTACTTCATACTGTCCGATTATAGCACAGTGCAGTGCATACTAAAAGCCCCTTGTGATCTACAGATATCTCGAGGACACTTGAGTTAAACAAGACATTCAGCAGGTTTAATTAACATTGAAACAATTTACTTAATTCTCACTTTAAGCCAACCAATTTTAAGACAAATGACAACTTGAGTATTGTTGAGAATAGGAGCACTTTGTCTTCACACATCACGACAACGCACAAGAAATGAGAATTAAAGGGGAACAATGTTTTTATAGTGTGCAAGAAGAGCAGGCTGACTGGTCAGCCACATTGCCTCTTATTGTGGGTGAAGAAACGATGAATTTCTGGAACCTAACCAATCATCTCAATCGCTGAAAGGTGACCTGCCTGGATCTCACCAACTAACCTCGTCCAGGGCAGCTCAGCTCAAACCCTCCCCATATTTAGGGACTGAGTGGGGGGTGGGGTTGTCAGCTAAATCTCCCCCCTTTCCAGGAGTGGGTACTGGGAGAGTGCTTCCTGCTATTCCAAAATTCAATGGGGTGATTGGGAAATGGGGAACATCCAAAGGAATTTGCTCGGCTCGGATATGCCTTTCCAAATCCCAGCATTCCAAAAACTTGCTTTAAAATACACTCCCTGCCCATCCTTGGGCTGTTGATTTACCCCAACTTCAAAGTAGCACGATTGTGGAAACAGCATCAAGCTCCCGTTCATGGGACAATAACCTAAAATCCGAGCATGTGAGAAAGGATTTCTGGACATTCCATAGATTTATAACCACCAGTCATGGGGAGAGGAGCGTTTGATTGTTGACAATTATGTAAAGGAATTTATCTAAACAAAGTAACATTTCACAATCACTTTCCCAGATGGATCATAATTGCTTTATAAAACATTTTTAGAACATTTATGTAAAACATAAAACAGCAATTTCTTTCCACGTAATTTTATTAAAATCTTCCATTATTTAAATATTTACATTAAACCTCCCTTTAACCTTCTCTGCTCGGAGGCAAATAATCCAATCAGCCCTACTCTCTCCTCATCACTACCTGATTTCTGGTAAATCTGCTCTGCACCCTTTCTTTTGTACGCCTGAGGTAGTAAATTGTCTTGCTCCCAATTGCAATGCCCGGTGAAGGACAAGGCTCAACAGATGTCAAGTGTGGGTGCAGTGTGCTCACAGTCCACTGCATTACTTACTGTCGATGGGTATTCTTGGTGCCCTGTAGTAACTCCAAGGTCTGTCGTTTAGCCACGGGTGTGGAGGAGCTATTCAGCATCTGCTTTAGTTCACTGCTGTTAGCTGAGTGTGAAGGGCTCCTGGGCATGCCCACTTCCACAAAGGCATCATTGGAACCTGTAAAACCACCAGAAGCTTGAAGCTGATGCTCAAAATGATGGAACCCGCATCATGGCCAGTGCAGTGCAACGAGAACCACTCAGAGATTTTGGTGTTAGCCTAAACGTAGAATGCACTCATTTTCTACAGAGTTCCATTGCTCCCATCAAACCTTCATTAATGCATTCAGGGGTTCAGCCAGAATAAAAGGTTTTGGGTGGGAGATGGGAAGCAATTTATTGACTTAGTATAAAACTTAACAAGGGAGCTGAAGCCTGAAGTCAGCCATGATCGTATTGAATGGTTGCAGAGGATTGACAAGCCAAATGGTCCACTCCAGCTCACATCTCCAAGGTTCTTGTCCTCCAGTTAGGCTTACATTCATATTAAACCACAACACAACTGCAACTGGAAATTAAAGAATTCGAGCTGTAAATTATTTGTAGTCGGTTTTGGATAGCTCCTAACACACAATATTAGCAATGTTCAGAAGTGATTGGGCAGAGGGGTCATGAATCTTCTCCTTTAGAAGCCTGAATAACTGTAAGGTATGTTGATGCTATAACCGCAGCATTGATACAGAACGGTTTCACTCTGGCCCAAGGCTGTTTTTATGGTGTCAGTTTTCTTTTATTCATTCACGGGATGTGGCTGTCACTGACCTTGCCCCATTTATTGCCCATTCCTAATTGCCCAGAGGGCAGTTAAGAGTCAACCACATTGCTGTGGGTCTGAAGACACACGTAGACCAGACCAGGTAAGGATAGCAGTTTCCTTCCCTTAGGGAGCGAGATGGGCTTTGCCCAACAATTGACAATTGATTTGTATTCCATCATTAGTGTCTTAATACCAGATTTTTCTTGAATTCAACCATCTGCCAGGTCTCTGGACTAACAGCCCAGATATAATACCATGAAGCCATCGCCTTCCTTATTAGTAGCTTGAATCCAGTTAAGTTCAATGTGGCCTTCCTGAAGGAGACTCTCTCATTCACAATCCTCTAGAATTAGCGAGACTTTTAAAAACTCAATTCACACTTGGCACCAGTACAAAGTTCCTCAGGTCAATGCTACACTTGCAGTGCAAGTGGATTTATAGTGACACAAAAGGATGTCAAGAGATCTCTCAATTTTAAGCAAAACAGAAATTTTTCTGCCTCATATTAATGTTTGACAGCAAAGTAGACCTTCCAATCCTATCTTTAAGGAGCTACTCAACTGCTTGCAACTGTAATATATTCCAGAGGAAGAAAGATTGTAAGAGGGGGAGAAAACATCCATAGAAGTTAAAGATAATAGAAAGACAAAAACCAGGGAATTCCATATTGCAAAGGAAAGATAGAAGATTGGGAAACATTTAAACATCAACAAAGCATTACTAAAAAAAACTCATAAAAACAACAAAGGTACATTATGAAAAAAATCAAGCACAAATTATAAAAACAGACAGCCAAAGTTTCTATAAGTATATAAAAGAGAAGAGAGCAGCTAAAATGGACATTGGTCCCTCGGAGGATAAGACTGAGGAATTAATAGTGGAGAAGATAGAAATGGCAGAGTCACTTAACCAATATTTTATTTCAAATATTTTCATGGTATAGGACACTAGCATTATACTAATGGTAACAGTCAATGCATAGGTTATAGAAAAGGAAGAACTTTGAACTTCATCACTAGAGAAAAGTACTGAACAAACTATTGAGATTTAAGATAGTAAAGTCCCCAGGGCCCATTGGCCTACATCCTAAGGCCTTAAAAGGAAGTGGCAGCAGAGATAATGGATCAATTGGTTATAATACTCCAAAATTCTTTGGATGCAGGAAGAGTTCCACTGGATGAGAAACTTGTCCTGTTCAAAAACGGAGGTAGGCAGAAAGTAGGAAACTATAGATCCTCATGTAGGGCAATCCAGAAAGAGAGGTCATAGTTTTGGGATAAGGGGTAGCAGATTTAAAATGGGAAGAGGAGAAATTACTTCTCTCAAAAGGTCGTGAGTCTGTGGAATTCATTGCCCCATACTGTGGTGGGATATTGAATAAGTTTAAGGAGGAGAGAGATTTTTAGTTAGTAATGAGTTGAAGGATTATGGGGAGTGGGCAGGAATGTGAAGTTGAGGCTGAGCTAAGATCAGCCATGATCGCATGGAATGGCACAGCAAGCTCATGTGGCCGAATGGCTTACTCATGCTCCTAGTTCCTATGTTCTCCTGTACTCAAGAGGATGGTACCAGACAGATATCTGACTGTATCCGTGCAACACTCCCCCCTCCCTCTCACAGCTTGCAGAACAATGCTCCCAGCTTAGACCTGATTATTTGTAATGTTAAGGTAGTTTTGTGCAGCACCCATAAATGAGGAGTATTGCTGAACAAAGAGACCTTGGAGTGCAGGTGCATAGCTCCTGGAAGGTGGAGTCACAGGTAGACAGGATAGTGAAGAAGGCATTTGGTACACTTGCCTTTATTGGTCAGTGTGTTCAGTATAGGAGTTGGGAGGTCATGTTGCAGTTGTACAGGACATTGTTTAGGCCACTTTTGGAATACTGCATGCAATTCTCGTCACTCTGCTCTAGGAAGGATGTTATTAAACTTGAAAGGATTCAGTAAAGATTTATAAGGATGTTGCCAGGTTTGGATGTTTTGAGCTACCGGGAAAGGCTGAGGCTTTTTTCCCTGCAGCATCGGAGGCTGAGGGGTAACCTTATAAAGGTTTGTAAAATCATGAGGGGCATGAACAGGGTAAATAGGTCTTTTTCCCACGGTGAGGGAGTCCAAAACTAGAAGGCATAGGTTGAAGGTGAGAGGGGGAAAATTTAAAAGGGACCTCAAGGGCAGCTTTTTCACGCAGAGGGTGGTGCATGTATAGAATGAGCTGCCAGAGGAAGTGGTGGAGCCTGGTACAATTACAACATTTAAAGGGCATCTGGATGGGTATATGAATAGGAAGAGTTCAGAGGGACGTCAGCCAAATGCTGGCAAATGGCACTAGATTAATTTAGGATATCTGGTTGGCATGGATGAGTTGGACCAAAGGGTCTGTTTCCATGCTGTACATCTCTATGACTCTAAATGACTGGTTAACGCAAATTCAATTGATGTACACATTTGACCAATCAAATAAAATCTGATCCCAGTAACCCTGGCTCAGATTGGAGCCAGCTCCCAGGACAGGTTAACCCCACTGGAAAGTGTTACTAAAACCCATTGGAAATTTACCTTCTGCTGGATTGGACTTGCTGGTCAACTGCTCCTGGGAGTTGATTGCATTCTCTCGAGGCACCTCAGAGTGGTTACTGCTCAATACTTTATCTGCTAGGCAGGGGTTTGAAATTCGTGTATAAATAGCACTGGAAGGCTGTGGAAACAAAACGCATTGAGACCTCTTTCAGTTATGCACATCAGACAGGAAAATACCATATTTCCAGGCACAGGGGTTTCTGCATAATTTCCATATCAGAGAGTAGACAGACTGTAGCATATCTAAATGACAAAACTGACTGCAATTCTACTTCTATGAAGCACTTTTGGAGACTGTGAAAAGTGCAAATATTAATTCAAACTCTTTGCTTAGCTTCGAAAGAGAAAATCCATTTGGATAGCAGAGTAAGGGAACAAATCTTCTCACTGTTTCAAAAGTCTCTCTATCTGTAACCATTTTAATTAGTCCAATGATAGAAGCAAGGGGATTCAATATCAGGAGCCCAACATTGAGGTTTGGGTTGTATCAATTTAACAGAATCTGCTGTTGATATTCCAAATGATAGATTTATCTTCACTGGAGATCTGGAATAATCTCTTAAAATTACCCAAACAAGTATTCAACTGATTTTAAGGTACATTTCAGTTAACAACAGACTATACGCCTGAATTATCAGCTGCTCAGCGTTCAAACCAAAAGTAGTGTTTTCGGAAGAAGTTGCGACTAAAACAATGCTTAATTCTCTGACCGTCAGTGCTAACACAGCTTCCCACTGGGTCAGTGACTGTATGAAAATGAACTACAGAAAAAACAATACAGCATCAAGGTTCACTCCCAACCTACACTGATTTCGTTGAATTCAGTCCAAGCAGTTATGGGGATTTTGTTTTTATCGAAGATGGGATGTGGGCATCACTGAACAGGCCAGTATTTATTACCCATGCCTAATTGCCCAGAGAGCAGATAAGAGTTAACCATATTGCTGTGGGTCTGGAGTGATATGTAGGCCAGGCTGGCTAAGGATTTGATTTGATTTATTATTGCCACATGGATCTAGGTACAGTGAAAAATTTTGTTCTGTATACAGTATAGGCAGATCATACCGTACAAAGTGCGTTAGGCTGGACTTAGATTTGAAGTTTAGAAGAGCAGAATGATTAAAACATATGTAAGGATAAGATCTGCTTAGACAGCTTGCAAAATTTCTCCAAGCTCTGGTGCCATCTTGAATTTAGATAGCAGTTTTCTTCCCTAATCAACATTAGTGAACTAGATGGGTTTTTCCAACCAATGACAATGGTTAAATAGTTATCATTAGACTCTTAAGTTTGGATTCTTGATTGAATTCAAATTCCACCATCTGCCACAGCAGATTAACAGGGCTAGAAATAATACCACCAGGCCATCGCCCCACCAGTAAATGGATATGTGAATTCTTGCTTTAGCCAAATTTTCTGCATTGTCCAGCTTTACCAAACTGCATCTAACATAGCCTTGAAATCAGAATATTGAGAGTCAGGACTTGAGCACAAGCCTGGGTTGAGATAACCATACAGCACCTACAGAGGGCTTAAACAAAAACAAAGTGGCTGGAAAAGCTCAGCAGGTCT